GAGGAGCTGAGCACCTCTGAAAAAAGAGGCTTCTCCCCTTGATGGTAAGGTCACCAAATAGATCTCTGTCACACACAGGCAAGTTAGCACAAACCTCCTGTACCTCCTGCACCGCGTTCTCCTCATGCAGCGTCTCAGCCTTCTCTCAATACCTCCAACGCCGCCTCGTTGCTCTGCTCCAAGGCCCAAACACTCCAACAAAGACATCTTCCCTCTATTGTCTAGTCTGATTTTTCAAATGCCACTTCAGATTCCCATTTCACCAAATGCAAATAATGTGCATAAGCCTTTTCTTCCCGAAGAATATCCTTTGTAGGAAAGCATTTTCATGGTAACCCCAATTTAATATCCTTTTTTCCCCAAGATCACACAAATGTTGATCTCCAGTCTCATCTGCTCAACCGTCACATCCTCCCATCCCACTGTTGCCCTAATTGCACACTGCTGAGCCCCCTCGATCGTTTCGGTATCCCTCGATAATGGCAGGATCAGAACTGAAGGCAAAAATCCTCTCCTCTGCAAAGCAGCATTACAGCCTTTCATTTCTGCTTTTGATTCTCCTGCAAAACCAAGGCGGGGAAAGCACTGGCTTATTTCTGATACAGTGATGTTGCACCGCAATCTTTTATTCAGTCTGTTCTCACCCTAGTGGATTTTTGTTTGGTATTTTTAACTCGCCAAGTAGCCACCTCCCATTAGGTACTTGTTCCAACTGCTGGTCCTACTTGGGATATAGGCTTTTATCACCTCACTGAGGATAGCAAGATGTTCTTACCCCTTCTGAGCACTGGGCATTCTTGGTCCTCAGCTAACGCCATTTCTTTGGCCCTTTGATTTCACCTCAGCTTAAAAATACACCAGGAAAAGACTCTGTCTCCTTAAATTCACAAATAAAATTTACACAGAAAAGGCCTGGGTACCGATGGCTGCAGCACACGAGCATCAGTCCTCATCTGCAAGTGGCTCTACACGGGAGCAGCTGTTAATTTATTTAGTGTTTGGTGGGTTTGAGGTATTTTCAGAGGTTAGTGGGGTTATTCAGGACACGACTGCTCTTCATTTTCTCTCTCTACGTGGCACTGCATCAGATGTCTTAAACTGGGCCACTGCACACCACAGCCACTGCACTGTTCTCACCCAGCCAGAGAAAAATGGCAACAGAGAACACTACCAGATGTGTTTGCTATGACCAGCTCTCCACTAGCCCTGGTGTATCAGCCAGTAAAGGCACTTTGCCCCTGCCTCAAGTGAAAGCAGATATGGTCCCATAATTTAATACCCTGTATGCGGGCTTCAAAAGAGAAGGAGCATCATCAAATTACACCTTGTCCAACCCAGAAGCCCTCCCAGAGCAGTTCTGCAGCCCGGCCGCTCTGCTCCCACTGCTGGACCAGGGCACAGCACAGCAGCACATGTCACTGCCTCAGCTGATTCTGCTCCCAGGCTCGCATCCCAGCTTAAAGTCTCTCCTAATGCCCTAAGACATAAGATGTGCAGCTTTCTGCTGCTGTACCTCAGTGGCTGTTCCCTCAATATTTAATCTTGTAAGCTGTTAATGCACAGATCTGTGCTAAGCGGCGGGGTTCATCTTTTTCTGTACTCAAAATTTGCTTCCTTCTTGTTCAAATGTGGCAAAGGCCACTCTTTTCCTCCTCGGACCCCAAGTCAAAAATCATTCAGTTTTAACCCAGTGAGATTCCAGGTGGTTTTCTTCCTAGTGAAAGCCTTCCTTTCCTTCAAAACTGTAATAGAAAATGTTGGCCAGGCAGTACCCTGGCATTTCTTTGCATTTTTATTTATTCATCGCAGCCTTAGTTTTTTTCACTAAGTGAAATAAATAAAAGCCCGGAGGCAGCCAAGCCTCGTCTCCGGAGATGCAGGCAGCTGCCCCAGCTGCCTCGGTGCCAGGGCTGTGCCGCTTGGCCAGCTGCAACGCAGGGCACACAGCCACCGCCCAGGAGGACACAGGAGGAGGCAAGGCAGAGGGGTTGCCAAACCGGCATCTCCCCAAGGCCCCGCCACCCACCTGGCCCAACCTTTCTCTCACAGGAAAGGAGCTGCCACTGTCTTTCAGCTGTGAACTGCTGCCCTTTCTCTCCGCTCTCCAAGAAATGATCCACTTTGTTTCCAACTGGAGCAAGATTTGGGTACGTGACTCGGATGTTCAAAGGAGTCCATCAGCTAGCCACTAGCCACCCTAGAAGAAATACACACTGCTCCGTATGAAGCGGTTCATGAAGCATTCCTAGCTTCTTGGGACTAGACTAGACAAGCACGATGCTAAAGCATCCAGCACTTCTATGGGAGACACAAATCACTCAGCTGTTGGGCCATGCATTCCCTTGGGCTTTCAGCACCAGCTAGGCCAGGGAGCCTTTTTCATGGATGTTCTTCAAGGCAGAAGTAATTTAAACTCCCGAACGCATCTCATCCTACAGGATCTATTTTCTGAGCAGTGTGGGAAGGTACCGGCCTGCACAATCGTTTATTAGCACAAATAGGAGTGTATGTTTAATTCTGCGGAATGGGTAGAACAAAGGATTATTAAATAAAATTCCGATTAGTTGTGCTGAAAGCAAAATACCAGCTGGAGCCTAGGGTAACACAGGCATGCTATCAGCAAACAAGCGCTGCATCTGCACACACACACACACACACCAGCTCTGACCAAGTGGAGCCCCAGACTGGAACGGCAGAACCAAGGTGTCTCCGTCGTGCCCTGTGCTCTGACAGCTCAGGTCCTGCCCTCCTCTAGGCAATCCCTTTGGCCCGCTGTAGCTGCACAACAGGAATGAAAGCAATGGAACCCAACTTGAAGTCCTCCTACTAGCAGCTTTGTTGGCTTTCCCAGTGGGAACACCACCTCCCAACACAGTTATTGCAGAGTCCCACTGCCTGGAAATACACGCACGGCACGTCGCTCTACCTGCAAGGGGATGGTGCCCGCAAGCCAGCCTGCCCTAACTGCAGCCATGTTCATTAACAGCTCGTCGTTTAGATCCTATTGCAAAAATTAATGAAGCCACTTTGCGAGAGGGCAGCCTCCCTGAGCAGAAGATAACGTATATAAGAGAGGGCTGGGAGAGAATTGGCACATCCTTGCAAGGTCATGCTAGAATGCATCAGTGGCTGGCTGAGGCTGGGCTCCTCTGGTAAGAAGCCTGAAGCTATTTATGACTCATGTAATTAATTAATGCCAACGGGCGTTCTGCTGCAGGCACGTGGGAGACCAAAGGGAAATACGAAGCGAGCAGGTTAGGAGAAGTAGTGGAGGTGGGGGAGAAGGATGACATTTCTTGCAGCAAGACATGCTTTGAAGTAATTACCAACAGTCCAAACAGCCAGCAGCTCTTCTGGCTGCATCAGTACAAAATCAATTAGGAGCTTTAAAAATGCACTGGCTCATATTTCAGACAAATAAGAAGCAGTCATCTGAGGGAGGGCAGTTGCATTTCTATGTGCAGCACACCACAAGACCCACAGATCCTCAGACCCCGCAGTGTGGTCCACAAATGGTGTTACCAGTAGAGGGAGCATCGTTAATGCCTTCCAAATCAAAAATGTTTTTGCATGAGGAGCATTAGGGAAGACTGACGGTTTGATTTTATGTCTCTAAAGTCTGAGGACAAATTTAACAGATGCAAGAGGAAGGAGCAAAGGGCATAGTGAAAAGTGGGTCTATGCCTTGAAAGCTGAGTCCCCGCCAGCACTCGGGGCTCCCGACACGTACCGCCTTCCCTTTCGGGAGCCTGGCTCTCAGACACCAGCAGCAAACCAAAACTCGCAGATCACACTAAGCAAGGGACCACGTCTGTGGCTTTTCTGCTTGTCTGCAATACTGCAGTCTCACACCGAACACTCAACATGTGGTGATGCTGAGTCATGACACCACGCTTGCACAGACCATTTGAGGACAATGAGAGCTTAACCTAATTTTGTCCCTTTGTTTGTCCTCTGCACAGAGGAGATCAATCAGTTCCACTCGCTGCCCTCAGATCCCCATGCATCCAGTGCCTGATACATTATACAGCAAAACTGTAAACAAATAAAACGCGCCACGCACCCTTTCCCTCCTCTGGTGCCCTGAAGTCCTTCTGGGCTGTCCAACTCCCACCCAGCCTGCATTCTCTCTCACATCTCTTTGTTGCCAGAATATCCTCTATCAGTTCCCAAACGTATTCATGCATTGTCCCATCTCCCTCTTATCATAGCTGCCTGCAACAAATCCCCTCACACAATGAGGATTGCAAATTTGCTTACAACCCAGTGTTGTTTTCCATTTCTGCTTCTCTGTGCTTGTCTTTTCCCTCTGGACACTTGCAGGGGCCAAGTGCCACAGCATCAGTCTGACACTGCCATCTGGATCAGCAGCAGAGGCTGATTGTAGTCTCAAAGCTGGCTGGCAAAGCCTGGGAGGCTGCAGAATGCTTCCCACTGAGCCTCAACCACCTCCACAGTTTGGGGGATCTTGCTTTCTACCTTTTGGTCACCGCCAAAGTCCTCAGATGCTGGCTGGTGGGACTCTCTACCACTATCTATTATTTTTGTGGTGCAAAACCATGCAAATCAATAGCCAAAATTTTAAAAAAAAACAAAGAAGAAAAGTGTAAGTGAAACGGCAGTCAGTTTTAGTTTCATAAATATATATGAGTGAGAAGAACAAGAGCAACAAAGTTCTCCTTTCTGGTGGGCTGAGAATCGACAAGAGCCTGAGTCTCCAGGGTAAAACACGAGCAAAGTAAACGACAACACAAACACCCACTTAGCATTCATGCTACATACTCCTGATCTGAGCCTCACCAGCTTTAAGAACACTTCTGTTAAATACTGTAATGCTCCCAATTACAAGTGATCTGGATTGTTTATTTTCTAAACAGATTTCCCCCCTCCGGGAAATCCCATAAGCCTAAGACAAAAGCAGTCTTGAAGAGGTGTTTCAACCTCTTTTGGCTATACAATATCCACAGCTGGCTCCATTTCCCTAATTGTTTCATACTGACCTTGAGGATATTTCGGCCATTAAACGACTCCCGTTCCTTGAAATATGATTTACCAGTCATTGTATTGCTTCGCTCTTCAGCTGCAAAGAGAAAAGCCACCACCAGACTGAGCTTCAGATGGGAGAACTGTGTGTGCTGTACTTCACCCCCCACTCTCTCCCTCCCCAAAGTCAGCTGTCAGCTAATAAACCATCTTTGCCCAGTTCTTAATGTAAAAAAACCCACTTTCACTTTGACTTTAAAGAGAACAAGGCTGAATATGCAGGAATTGGTGCCTCTATTGGGTTCACCCAGGTTACCTGGAGGAAAGACCCTAAATCATAGCTGCTGCTAGGGCGATTCTGTAGGGTGGATGGCTCAGTGCAACACACTTGCTTTTCTCTGGCTGATTTTAATTCCACATCCTGTCAGGGTGAGAGTCAGCACTGTGAGCGCTTGCATCGCCTGAAACAGCACCAAATACCCACCTGAGCATGTGAACACAGTACCAGGCACGATCTGGACAGCACCTATAGAAACCTCTGCTGCCCACTCCGGGAAGCACATCCGTGTGGTGTGTATGTTTCTGTGGGGTGGGCACGCAGCCACACACACAGGCATTAAGAATAGCAACCTAGGCCTACAGCAACTGCCAAATGCCTACGTCTTAGATCCATTTCCCCAGAGCACGTCTGGATTTTTATATAATCCCTAAGTACATGATCTGTTCTTTCCACAGGACCTCTGCCTCACTTGGTGAATATATTCAATATTTCTTTTTCATGTTCAGCATTAACTATGAAGTCCCACTCACACCTAGCGCTATTCAAATCCTGTGTTGAATATAAAGCGACTTCTGTGGCTATCTGTGTAATGCTCTCACCATTGTGTCTGAATGCCTGGCATGCCTCACGGGGCTGATCAGAATATAGACTCATAATGCCAGACACAGCTGCCTGCGCACAGAGAGCCACATCAGCACTTTGGGCTTATGTTTTCACCAATTTTCAGGGCTCAGTTTGAGAGAGCTAAGCCCCATCTTTTCAAGGTTTCTACCCGCTTGAGTATGCTTATCTGACTTTAGTAGCAGTCATCCCCAAAGGCTGTCGCTGGGTGCACAGAAAACTGTAGTACAAACCATCTGCTGTTATCACCATCCACACAGAGACCCACAGAGGCAGAACACTCCACATAACCCATCGGCACTGCACGGAGGCCACAGCACCAGAGAAGGCTACACTAAGCTTTAGTGCAATGCTGTAAGGCTTGCAACCTACACACCAGCACCAGAGCACATGCATGCTTGCACAGGGAGAACGAGGCTGGGATATACAGCCCCTCCCTCAAGGCAATGCATCCGAGGCTGCTTTATAAAGCACTAAGAACGATGCTACAGACTGCGAGAGCAGACAATCTTTTGGCAGAGACAGCTGATGCTGTACACTCAATAATAGCTCATATTCAGCCTTGTAGCCGTCTGAATCTGATTTAACAAGAACACCACTGGAATCGCGTTCCTAAACCAAGGGGCAGTCTTTAACTTGACCAAAGAGGATCACGTTTTCATCCTGTTCAAAGGTCAGCACAGCACATGGAGTTGTTACTGAATTTCAACTTAATGTTGGGGCACAGAGAGCCCAAGAGCTCACAGAATCCCAGACCGTTAGGGATTGGAAGGGACCTCAAAAGCTCATCCAGTCCAATCCCCCTGCCGGAGCAGGAACACCCAGATGAGGTTACACAGGAAGGCGTCCAGGCGGGTTTTGAATGTCTGCAGAGAAGGAGACTCCACAACCTCTCTGGGCAGCCTGGGCCAGTGCTCTGTCACCCTCACTGAGAAGAAGTTTCTTCTCAAATTGAAGTGGAACCTCCTGTGTTCCAGTTTGTGTCCCACATGGTACTTGAGTGCATTCCTCTCTGGCCCAGATCTTCTGAGTGCTACTGGGTGATAGTGTTTCTAAAGCTCTGACAAAGAATCTTAGAAAAGGTGAGGAAAGTGCTCAAAGCATCTCTGACTTCTCCAGCTCTGCTGATTGCTTTTTCATTTTCTTCTGGGTTTTATTTAGTGACATCCCCGACAACTTTGTAGGTATTATTGAAATTAAGAAAAATCACAAAATTTTTAAAAAGACACATAAAAAAGCATTTTCTGTTTAGAGGTACTACTGTAAATGAATTTATCAGTAAGGACGAGGAATACCCACCACTTGGATCTTTCCTGAAGAGAGTGTTCATGACTGTAGCATGCAGTTTCACCCTATCCCATTCTTTAAGCATTAAGCCGGAGGCCACGAATCTTTCCACCAGTTGATCAGCAATCACCTGCAACCTGGCAAGGCAAAACCAGAAAGAACAGAGCAGTGTAAACCAAGGAGAAACTCCTGCAACATTAGCATCTTGCTTTCCAGGCAGGGAGGGCAGCATGTGTGAAAAGTCTCTGCAGGAACACGGGGAAAGGGAGCGAGTCTCTGATGGAAAGCGAACACAGCCGTCAGGATCCAGTTCTAACGCAAAAAAAGTTCTGGCTGCTGCGCTAAGCTTCCTCAGTGATCGCTCCTGCTACAAATATTCCATGAAGAAGTGCAGATTTAGCATAGCAGAGAGTCTGCTCACAGTGACAGATGTTACAGGGACTTGAAGGATATATCTTTCTACTGCCAGGAAACACAGTGTGGTTCTCCTTTCAAGTGCTAAAATCTACAGACCCCCAAAGGGGTCTTAGTCACCTGGAAGACTTGCTCTGTTCACGGACTGCAACCTGTACAGTGCATCAAGCTGGACCTCAGACCCTCTCTGTCCCAAATAAGCAACCCAGTCACTGGGCTTAATTTCTGGGAGAGGCCAGAACGTGGTGACGGAGGCACAATCCCAGAGAGCACATCCTGGTGAACGCTCCAGCTTCAGAGCCACTGAGCGAGCAGAATTAAAGGAATTATTGCCACCTTCTGTTTGGCCTCGGTCGGGCATGAAAACGGCCGTGGCTGCTGGGTTCTGCGGGCAGGCCTGCCCTAGGATAGGCAGCAGGAGCAGGCAGGCCCTCAAGGCAGCACTCCCATGTATCCTTACATCTAAAGAGCTGAAGGAACTTCCAGGCTGCTGCTGTCCCTCACAAAATTTCTGCAGTGCTCCAGCCTTGCTGAAAGCAGCAAGGATGTGCTGGAAAAGCTTCCTGTCCCCACAAAGCAAGCAAGAGGGTGTTACTCTGTGAAGAAGAATTTAATCTTCTCTCACCGCGTCCAGGGGGTTAGACAGCTCTCTGCTCCACCACGTCTCACCACTTTGGTGTCTCTGCTGCAGTGGGAGAAGCAGACCGTGGCCTCTCTGAGGCTGGCCCCACGCTCCAAATGCCAGCTCCTACCCACCCCACTGCTGGTTTTGTACTGCCCCTCATGGGCTGCCAGCCCCCACGTGACGATTTCAAGACTCTCAAACTACCAATTGTCATGGTTTTCTACCACTTTCTGGCTTTACATCAGTGATTTTTAAAATTAGCAATGACAAAGATTAAATGAATATCATTACAGACAATACTAAAGCAAATTAACAGAGAATAGCTCAAGTGAAAATGGTGCTTTATTACGTTATAAAGTTAATCAAGGAAATAAAACAAATTAGAATGAATTATAATGGAAATTATTTGCCATGTGGGAGGCATCAGAGCATGATCCCTCTCTGAGTCTCAGCCATTATATGTGCAGAAGGGCTTGCCAACCCCTAATTCTGTCTGCAGTTATGCAAGCTAAGTCCGGGTAAATCAAATCTCCTGCTTTATAGCTTAAGCTGATCAAGATCATCCAAAGATCAGGAAGGAACTCCACCCTTCAGCCACGCCAGGAACTACGCAGAGCTAGCAAGACATCTTGCATGAGACAGGAAGGCACACACACCTCTCTGAAATGCAGGCTGCAGCAGTCTGATCCAGCACAGCGAACCACGTGGCTGCCGCTCTCCTCCAGTATTGCCTTTGCAGCTGAGAAACTCTGCCTTCTACCTGCTTCCCCCATTTCCCTGAGCAAAGCACAGCAGGTTTTAGCAGACAAGAGGCGCACGGAGCTGCTCAGCAATCATATGTCTAGCAGACCACAAAACGAAGCCGAGTTTTCTGCAGGGATCACCACTTGTCCCCTCTTCACCCCCTCAATCACCACTTGCCCGACACTGTATCTCCTGGAAACTCAAAGGAAGCATAAGAATCTTTCACTGCTCTCTATCGGCACAAAAGTATCTCCTTTCCCCTCTGCAAAGCTAAATGATTGCTGGATGCTTGCTAACAGGTAAGGAACTATATTAGGGGAGAGGTGTCAGATGAATTAATTTGCAGCTGAGGGCAGGACCGGCCTGGGCCAAGGATAAAAACTCGCAATCGCTTGGCCCTCTCTGAGCAGGCGAGAAGCAAAAAAGGTGGCGTGGAAGAGAAGTCTGCAAAACTCCAGGTGCCATGCAACGCACGAAATCTGGGTTTGGCAAAAATCTCAGCTAACGGACCTCTGTGAAGTACAGAGGAGACATCAGCCTTTTCTCACGGGACGGTGGGGGTCATTTTCAGTTTCAAGGCAAGGTGGGCCTGAAGACCTCAATTATCTCCCCTGCCGAAACCAGCTCTGCCATCCCTAATGCACATCAGCACTGTCTGCTAGCATTACAGCTAAGGAGGCTCTCAGCAGGACAGATACAGCTGGTATCTGAAGCAGACCACAGTGCTGGTACCAACAACTCAAGCTGTCTCCAGACGCAGGCAGACATCACTGTCCACTTTAGACCCTACTTACGCTCTCCAGGATTTCTCTACCCGCTCCTCAGGTTGCAGACGTATTTGCAGATGCAAGCACACTCACAAGCACTGCACCTCAGAAATGATCCAGAGCTCGGTGACTCTGGAGAGAAGAGGCCTCAGCTCTCAGAGCTGACCCCAGCAAAGGGTATTTGGGTCATCTAGTGCCCACTCTGTCTCATCTTTCTGAGTGTTTCTGCCTTGTTTCTCCCTGCACTTCTGTCTCTGGCAGACCTCTAGCTTGTCCCGGTTCTCCACCCACCCCATTTGTTTTAGCTCACCTCCTTCAGGGTAGGACAGACTTCAAAGTAAAAAAGCCAAGAGGAGGGAAATATTTCAATTCCTACTGCCTCCCAGCAATTCTTACATTTTCATTTTCCCACCCATTTCCTTATCCCACTTCCGATCTCTTACTTCAACACAGCCTCCAAAGTGCGGTTTTAAGCAGGCCTTCCCCACTTGTCTCCTCAGCCCTTGAGGAAAGGAGATACCAGAACATGCCAGATGAGACCTCATCACCACCTACAACTGCCTCAAGAGAGCTTGTAGAGAGGTGGGTGCTGGTCTCTTCTCCCAGGTGATGGGGATAGAACAAGGGGAAACGGCACCAAGCTGTGCCAAGGGAGGTTCAGGTTAGAGATAAGGAGGAAGTTCTGTACTGAGAGGGTCGTCAGAAGCTGGAACAGGCTGCCCAGGGAGGTGGTGGAGTCACCATCCCTGGATGTGTTTAAAGAGCGGGTAGATGAGGTACTTAGGGATATGGTTTAGTGGGTAGACAGGAACGGTTGGACATGATGATCTCGGAGGTCTTTTCCAACCGAGCGATTCTGTGATGTCCTTTCTTCCCTGAGCCAGTCTCTGCTCACAGCCTCCTTCCTCCAGCTGCACTTCTCCGTGCTCCCCTGCTACCTCCTGCTCCCCTCTAGCAACAGGAACAGACACAAAAAGGCAGTACCAGCAGAAAAAGAGAAGGCTAAGGCTCAGGGAGAGACAGCTAGAGCTCTTTTAGCTACTCCCATCACACAACCAGCAGCATGGAGTATGACAGCTCTTATATTTGCCCAGTCTCCCAGAAAGCACTGAGAGAAAAGACGGTGATGCCCCTGGTGACATACTTGTCAAAAATGAGATGGAGGAAGGTTGTCCAGATACTGCTGCACACCGGGCAGTGCTGTTTGCAGAGCTAAAGCCATCAGCCACAGTGACGAACAGCACATGCATACGCTGACATCAACCACGTTTCAAGATTTCACAACAGCAGCTCAGAAGACACAGACATTTCACACCCAGCACCTGTTCCAGGCCGCTTACAGACACAAAACCAACTCTGTAACCAAGTCATGCTCTCCTGAGGACCTTCTGGTGTAACTGGGTTTTAAGAATAATTAAGTGCCACAGAATATGCCAGGCTGTCCAGATTAATCTGGATTGCAAGCTGGGAACTAGACAGCAGAGGCCAAGTTGTCCTGCCTTCTAAGTCATCTCAGGAGTATCTCCTCAGCCATCTTATCACCGCTCGAGCCTTGACACCATTACTCAATCTGACAGACTGCTACAGAAACAAATGACATCTTTCAGCCGCGCCACCAGTGACTGATTTAAAGAGCAAACACATGACTGCCTTAACCGGTTTAGGAAGCAAGAATGACTTCATCTTCCTGACTGCTGGCCCAAGGATTGCTAGCAATACCCACCAGCTTCAAACGGCAGAGGTTTCTCTGGCACTGCTACTGCTGCCGCGGCACATCGAGGAGGAATGAAAGAAAGAAGGATGGGGAACTCACCTGTCCGAGCCATCCTTCATGTGGACTTTGGCATAAAGGATGTCTGTCATGGCAGGGTCATCGTTCATGTACTCCACTCCGGACACCTCCACAGTCAGGGGCTTGCCTCCAGTAATTCGGCTAAAATGGAAGAAATCCCTTATGTTAAAAAATAAAACATCATGCCTGCTTTTGAAATACAACATATAGTACTCCTCATGCACACACAAATACTTGGTTTTGCTAAGGGAATGATATAAAATACATTTTTGCTATAGTTAAGCACAAATTTGAGGTTAAGCAGGACTTAAATGTTATATAGACTGCATGAGGCAGTGAACTCCACTGAGGACTTCCTTTTTCCGTTATCTTTCAGGTTGCTTGCACTGAAGAAACCCAAACACACAAAAAAGGCTCCCTAATTCTAAAGCTCGAAAGGCTACAGCTGCTATTGTCTCATCATCTCAAGAAATACTGTAAAAACATTTAAACTCCTATGTTCAGTGTTTTAGACAGACATTAAGTCAACTTGTCAGTGTTCACAGCCCATCTCAAAGCAGAGATCTCCATTTACATGTCAGAAAATCCATCAGCAGTAAAACGGTACAACTTCTTATTCCAGAGCGGCTCCTGCCTTCCCTGTGAAGAGAGCAGTCGTGACACAAAGTCTCTGGCTCGTTGATTTTTCGCTGGGAAAAGTACTCAATACAGAATTCAGTTTTAAGTACATCCACTTAAAAATGCTGGAAGTAAATACAGCTGTTTTAAAATCAGCTCCAGCTACTCTTGCAGGAAGGCGAAACCAAAAACGCGCGCAGGATGCGATACGCACTCCCACACCTGCAAACACACTGTGAAGTGTAGCTGCTTCCAAACACGCCACCTCCTTGCCTCCACCACCAGAACATCACGGGGAGGCAGGGTGTCGCAGCGAGAGCTCCCCGTGAGCAAGTGCCCATGTCTCACTTAACGCCGAGGTCTCGTGGAAAGCACAGGGAGTGTCTGGGCAGGCAGAAGTAACAAACACGAGTTAACAACGCGAGTGTGACTTCGCTCTAACCTTGCTCGCTTCTCTTCAGCCTGCCCTAGAGACCACCCTTGAGATTCTCAACAGAGCTTCCCAGGTGAAACAAGGAGAGCATGAGCTCCCCTGTTTACTGGGAGGAAAGCAGCACAGGGCACTGTCGTGCACATCACACCGAGAGTGCTCAAAGCCATGTGTTCTAAAAAGGGTCAAAAAGGGCACAACTACCTTCGTATGCATGGCACTGCCTGCATTTATAAGAGTAAATGAATGCTAATGAAGGTTTTATGTGGGTAAAAGGAAGCCTAAATCCATTTTCAAAGTATATTTATTTGGATATGGCAGGGGAAATAACCTAAAGGTTACACTGATTCTCCCTCCATTAAAGGAAATGGAGGGTAAAGATTTTCTCTGCTTCAGTTCAATCCACTTATGAGGAAGTTGGCACTTTCCAAGTACTCCAGGCAGAGCCTTCCCCTGGAAACGCACTTGCATTTCTGTTTTAACAGTCGAACAACTGGAGCTGTCATTTTAAAGGCAGAGATATGAATTTTGGCCATGCATTAATTCCCACAGATAGTAGCTGACGGAGCGTGGCAAATTCTTCACGCGCAGAGGCAATAAATAAATAAATAAAACAAAAGCAAGGATCTGTGCTCTACGTGCAAAGGCTTCGCAGAAATAAATAAACAAACCAATCCCTCAGGCCATCTCCAATTTCTAAGCTGAAGAGAGATAAGCTAATTACAGTGTCATTCAACCACATTAACAGTTAAAGCCCTAACATCTGCAGCTCAGTGTTAACAGGCAGGGAGAAAGCCCCTGTCCTGGAGCAGCACTGAACGCTTCAGACTGATTACTCGCATGGCTCACAGCTCCTCGCATCAAGAAATGCACGTCAAAGACACCTCAGTGCCTGCTCTGAGGGGGGAGGGAAGCGGAGTGCCAGAGCCCAGCACCGGCAACACACAAAGGTAATGAAGCTCATCCCTCCCTCTGCAGCAGGCAGGGGACAACAGCAAAAATTGCTCACACAAAAAAATAACGGGGACGCACGTGAGGAAAAGGAATGAGTAGAGCAGGTTTTCAGGGAACGCTGAGGGTTTGAGCTGAGCAGAGTTTTTGTGACTGCCTGGAGATTTCTTCTGCTCCCATTTGAAACGTTTCAGCCTTTTTCTAAATTTCTGGAGTTGAGATAAGACTATTAAGCTGCTTTTCTCTTCACTGTCCTTTGTCAAAGACAGCTTGCTGCCTTTCTCCCACACATGCCCTTGGTGATGACATCCCTTTTTTATCACTTACTCCACAAAGTCCTCTTTGCATCGCTGTAGGAGGTCACACGCTTTCTGGATCTCTTGCTCGTTCAGAAGTACCAGCGTCCCAAGAGTCAGATGAAGCTTTGCAGGGTTCTGGAACAGGCTGCTGCTGACCCCGTGATCCTACAAATCAGTCAGTCAATCATATATAGGTGTCTTATCTCATACAAACACACCCCCACATCCATCAGTGCGATAAATACTACAGAGAAGAGAACAGGTATCAAACCACCGGCATCAAACCTTTTAGCTCTGCATCACTGGATGGGCTGGTAGTGACTCAAACTGAAAGGAGAAACAAAATCTCACAGGCTTTGAGAGCAAGTGAGCTCAGCCTGGCAGGTGAGGCACAACCCTGTCTGCCTTTCGTTGGAGCTGCTGAAGGGCAGCCTGGAAGCTTGTTCTGACAGGAACAAGCTCAGGACCCAGGATCAGCACCACCCACTCGTATGGGGTTTTGAAAGGAGACTTCCACAGTTGTCAAAGCAGCAGCTGCCACCAGCAACCAACTCAACACAAGTGAGCACAGATTTAAAACTTGAGTTAAGTCCATTTTTGTGCAATAAAGCTGGAACCAGCTGTAGTGACAAGCTCTAAATGGTCTCTAAATCCTGTCTAAACACAGGTTGCACCTCACGACACAAGCACAGCTAATACCAGCTCTAATAATTGCGTTCTTCTTGTTCCCGTGTGCCCTATAGTTTGCTGAGATGAATTAAGATTAAATTCCTTCTATAAGAAGGGTTATGTGTTGCTGCTGGGAAAGAACTGTTCCCAGGTGAAGCAGCGGTTACACTCAGCTTTAAAAACATGCTCTTTTGTTCTAGGATATTTATAAGAATACCTCGAGGATGAGAGCAGTGTAGGGGAAAGGGACCTGGGG